CCAGGTTCAAGCTAGTTTCCCGTCCCTCCACCAGCCTTCATCAGGTGACACCGTGACGGCCGTGAGGTGGTGCCTGACGTGACTAAGCTTTGGCTACTCAAGGGTGGCTCACGCACTTTTCTTGCGGGCTATCCTGAGTGAGGGCTGTCCGGAATGTGGGTGAATGAGGTAAGTTGAAATGTGATAATGATAGTGAGACTGACCAAAGTACAGCTGTGTAAGTCACACAAGAGAGTGAACCTCCATGAGATACAGGAGTGAAGGACGGAAGGGAGTGAATGAGTGAGTGAGTGACAGAGCAAGGCCAGGACCAGCGTCCGAACCTCGGCAACTTCTCGCGAATGAGTCTGGCCAGTCGGAAGGGCGGAAGTAGCCGGCTCCCCCAGGTCCCCACATTCCAACTTCCAGTTCCGCACTTCCTTGCAGCAGCTGGCAGTGAGTCGCCTGTTCCCCCGCAAAATCACAAGCTCGGCTTGGGGTCGGCAAAGCTGCGAGATGGCCCCAATTCTCTCCCCTTTCGGTGTGTGTCCCTCACGGAGTACCTACTTTACGGAGTAAGGTACTCTGCCGCAGCATGCCGCACGCTGGAACTGGAACTGGAACTGAGGTGGAACGGTGTTAACTGCCGCTACGTCACTTTTGGGTGTGGAGTGTTATGTCACAGGCCGAGGAATCGTCAAGAACGAAGAACGAAGAGACATCAGCAATGAGAAGAGCTACACATGATCACAACAATACCAGGCTTGAGGTACGCAACTCAGCTCCCTTGGTCCAGCACAACGCTCTACCGGATGGATGCCAATTGGAGACTGATGCTCACCAACAATACCAGCAAAATGAAGAGAAGTCTACGCTTGCGGTCTCCAATATGCCAATCACACCCCACCAAGCCTCCGTTCCGCCGAATCGGGATGGTCTGTCGCAGCGCAACCCGCTACAGAGTCACAGACGTCTGAAGATTTCAATGGTTTGAGCCACTCAGACATCAGTCCCGTGCTGCCATCTCTCTCTCTCTCCCTCTTCTCTCTTCTGCAGTCTATTTTCCTTCAGCATAGAAGGCATAGAAGTCTATCCGTACACGCCCCCCTTCCCCCTCATGCGCCCGGTTTACCGAAACCCCTGGCGCTGGTGTGTCCCGTCCTAGGCTTAAAGCTGATTTCTATTTGGCTGGCCTCGTCGTGCCGCGGGTGAAAGGGGGATGGAGAAGACCGTCTCCTCATATGCTTTTCTTGTCTAGCTCATCAGACTTTCACCAGTCCCCGTTACCCTTGCGTATGTCACACTCATACACTCATACCTAGGTACTCTCTCTCCCCAAGACAAGACCAAGACCGCCTTACACGCCTGTGCTCGGGACGAAACATCGAGTCATCTGCTTATCCTGTCCAGATTCTACCTATTCTGGCTTGTGCGGCGTGCCTTGAACATTGACCACCCCCCTCCCCTCCTCCTGTGCCCTCTCCATCTGCTACCTAGTCAGTAGTCAGTCCCGTATGCGCCACCTTTTATATACATGATTGCCCGCTCTGCCGTGGCTTCTGTCATCGGCGCCGAGGATGTTTGGCTTTGCCTTTGTAGGTCCCTGGCAGCGACTTGTTCCGAATCTTCTTCTTATTCTATTCCGACTTCTTCCCATGCCTGCTTCTTCTCCCTTGTGACTTTCATGATACCCTGCTCCTCCTCTTATTTACTGTGACGCATCTCGCATCCCATCTGTACTCTAGACCAACAACACCACTGCTCGCTTTCTTCTCTGTCGGTTCCGGCGCAAGACTTGCTGTCTCTTCCCCCCTCTCCTCTCCTCCCCTTCTCTACCAATACCATATACCCTCTACATCGTGCGTCATGGCGTCAAAGGTAAAACAAGACGGCAAGGCGCCGACCTCGGCGGCCGTGAACCTCATGGGTATGTTCACCTTTTCTCGCAAGACCGGCGCGGCACATAGGCATCGTCACTAACACGACCAACAGCCGGAGGTGGTGCAGGTATGATGGAGGCATTGGCATGTCATCCCCTCGGTAAGGATCCCTCCTTTCCCTGCAGAACTAAGACTTCCCTCCCGCTGCGCGCGCGCATATGCATGCGCAAGCACAAACACTTACCCGAACCTCTTGCGAGGAACAAAGTCAATTGACATGGAACGAAACCCACAGATACGATCAAGGTCCGAATGCAGCTGTCGCGACGCGCGAGGCAGCCCGGCGCACCCAAGCGCGGCTTCATCAAGACTGGTGTTGAGATTGTCAAAAAGGAGACGCCTTTGGGTCTATACAAGGGTCTCGGTGCCGTCTTGACGGGTATCGTGCCCAAGATGGCCATCCGCTTCACGAGTTTCGAGGGTTACAAGAATGCTTTGGCGGATAAGAACACGGGGATCGTCAGTGGACAGGCAACATTCATGGGTGAGTCATTCCAGAAAGAAGGCTACCATTTCTTTTAGCATACCAGGTGAGACTAACCTTTGATCTCGTGTTTGAACAGCCGGTCTCGCTGCAGGTGTCACGGAAGCCGTCGCCGTCGTAACGCCAATGGAGGTCATCAAGATTCGTCTCCAGGCGCAACACCACAGCATGGCCGACCCCCTCGACATCCCAAAGTACCGCAACGCCGCGCACGCGCTCTACACGGTCGTCAAAGAGGAGGGTTTCGGCGCGCTGTACCGCGGCGTGTCGCTGACGGCTCTGCGACAGGGCAGCAACCAGGCCGTCAACTTCACAGCCTACTCGTACTTCAAGGAGGCCCTCAAGAAGTACCAGCCCGAGTTTGAGAAGACGACGCTGCCGGGTTACCAGACGACGTTGATTGGACTCGTCAGTGGCGCCATGGGCCCGTTGAGTAATGCGCCGATTGATACCATCAAGACGAGGTTGCAAAAGACGCCGGCTGAGTACGGGGTTAGCGCGTGGAGTCGTATCACCAAGATTTCGGCCGACATGTTCAAGTATGTGGATGTTTCCGTTTCCTTTCCGTTACAGATTGGCGTCTAGGTGAAATCAGTACTGATTCTGTCAATAGACAAGAAGGATTCCACGCCTTCTACAAGGGCATCACGCCGCGTATCATGCGAGTTGCGCCCGGCCAGGCTGTGACGTTCACCGTCTACGAATTCCTCAAGGAGAAGCTGGAGAAGGGCAACATTGCCTTTTCTGGGGCCGGTTACGAGGAGTAAATTGTACGATCGTCACGGTCGTGATACATTGTACTTGTCCATGACGAAGTCAGAGGAGGGGTGTTTGAGATACCAGCGTCTTATCTGCGTTCTGTCAAGGGGTGGTGGCTCTATGATTCTGAAAAGACAAGGATACGCAACATAGAAGACTGGCAAACGTGCAAGTTGTAGATATGCAAAGGAGCACAATGTTCATAGAAGGCACTGCACTGCGAATGAAATATTGTCTATCATTCACCCGATCTACGGGCCTAGGATATGAATTGCTTCCCACGCGTTGAATTCCAACGTTTTCTTTCACTAGTCCGCCGTGACGCCGGTGTTATTCGTCTACCGACCGGGTCTCTTGGGTCTGCTAAAGTTTTGTCGAACCGTCACCTTGGGGTGTAGCTCCGAGAGAACCGTGTCCTCGGTGATCTCGCTTGGGTCCTCAACCTCGAGCTTCTTATCGAGCGTCAATCCTGCCTCGCTGGATGCGACATCGAGGACAGCACGCTTCATGAGAGGGTAGAGCATGCGGTTCTTGATGGACCTGTTGCCAGCGTTAACAGGGCAGGTGTAGATAAAGAGTAGGGGGCTCGACTCGGCGCCGTTGTGGGTATGGTTGAATCGGTAAAAGGTGAAGCGCGGCTCGGTGGAGGAAATGGTTTGTGTGAGCTCGGTAATGGAGGAGGGGCTTTCGCTAGAGGGAACGAGCTCAACGGATTCCTTTTCGGGGTTGATTTTCTGTTTACAGGCAGTCAGTCAGTCGATCCGCCAACGAGGCTACAGTAGGGAGAAGCGGCATGGTGTTTCAGACGTACCAGCATCACCAATGTCTTTCCACTGTCCGGTGACAGCCCTTTGAGTGCGGCGAGTGCATCTTCGGCAATGGGCATGGCCAGGGTCTTGCTAAGGTGGATCTCCCTAGTTCCCGTGCCAGTGCTGGCCTCCTGCTCGGCCTGCTTGACGGCGCCGAGGCTGCGCTCCTCCTCTGTCAGAGGAGCCTCGAGCTCGGTGTGAGCATCATGTTTAGCGAAGCCTTTGGCCGATAGCTCCTCTGCCATAGTGGCAAATATGGATTCGCGGAAGTGTTCGGAGCCAAGCTTTCGGACTAGGGTCAGGCGGGTGGACGCGAAGAGCATCTTCTGGCGGACCTTGGCCGAGTCTGGGACGTAGCTCACGGCTGCGAAATGCGGTGCGGTATCATAGCGGCGGAGAATGACATAAAGGGCCTCGTTGGGCTTGAGATGAGGCTGGAGGGAAGCGAGGTTGTCGTCGAACGAGGCGGTGGGGGAAGCCTTCTCGAGGAATTGAATGGGCTTAAGGGTCTCGGCTTCGATGGTGATGAGGAGTCCGAAGTGGCTGTCTGTGGACAGAAGAGTATTAAATTGGGAGACAAGTTCCTCGGAGGCTGCCGAGGATTAGCTCTTGGGATCAGGAGTATTTCGTCAAGAGTTGTGCAGTCAATACGAACCCGAGATGCCTGACTGCATCTTGGCGGTTAAGGACCAAGGTGCGTCTGGAGGAGTGCGTATATAATTGGACTTTCAGGTTGTAGCGGAGGACCGAAGAAGGTGATGGAGTATATTTACACCTATGTAGGAAAGCTGGAGGCCGAGGCGGATGCGGTGAGAAGCGGAGCGTGTGGTGGTGAGGTGGTGTTTGAAGCTCGAGATGCGGCGCCGCTACGTCAGCTGGCGAGTGGACCCGGACGACGGGGATGGCGGTCGTGGAGGGGTACCTTAGGAGCAGTTGCTGGGACAGTGGACCAGGAAGCTGCCCACCTACTTTGGCGGGCCTCCGCCCAAGCCCGTCTTATGTCAGCATTTCACGAATAGATAGATCTATCGCCATCTTATCTTATCGCTTCCTCGTCTCTCCTGTCACCACGAATCGGCATCAAGACAACATGGCATCACATCGGATCTGGTTTCAATTGATTCAACGTTTCACAATCATCCTCGAGTCTCATTCCATACTATATTGAGTTTTCTCCGCGACTTTCAGCTATCTTTACGCGATGCGGCTCCAATAGACATGCCCTACGTACGCAGCCGTGATGGCAACAGAGTACGGCGCAATCGTCCGAGCAGCCTGGATCCAAGCTGTTCGGCGTATGACTCTGTCCGACTCAGTATGCGAAGCCTTGTCATTTATCGTCGGGAACGCCTTGCCTTTAGGCACTTCTTTCCCAAGAAACTCGCAAAGAGGCTCCCACCCATCCTCGCCGACGCGATACACCAAGAGTCTCTCGGGCGCTACATGAGCCTTGATGCGCTCTGAATGCTCTCGGAAGACTTCCGGCGCTCGGCGATGCAGCTCCTCGATCGTACGAGCACCACCAAAGAAACCGCTGAGAGTCTTCTGCATTGCGAATCCAGCCCTGTTGCCAATCACTATACCTACACCCTTGAGAAACAAGTCGACCCATGGTCCGAACAGCGGTTGGATGACTTGGCTATCGAAGCTCGGAAACCACTTATCAAAGTCGCGTTCCGTGAGAATGATCTTGGCTTCGGGATAGGCATCAATCAGCTGCAGTGCCCAAAAGCACGACAGGTCCGTCACCGCGTCGTACGGCCCAAAGAGTTCATCCCAGTCTTCTCGACTGAATGGCGTAGGAGCAGACTGGCCCTTCGCGTTGACTTCAGGCCAAGTTGTAATGGCGGCTCGCTCGAAGAATGCCCAGTGCGTTGGTTTCGTCCGGGAATTCAGACCGTGAAAGACGTGCTTGAAGCCAAGTTCAGAGAGGGCGGCTGCGAGTGAGTACGTGCCTGTGCGAAGCATGCCGACGGCGAAGACCTTGGGAGGCCCAGCATCTCGAGCTTTCTCTTCGGGGGTGGCCATGGAGGCGTTTTATTGATATAATGCGAGTAAGCGGAGTTAACGACTTCGCACTCAACGGCAAGAATTCGAGATCCCCTTGATTCCGGGTGAAGTTGCCCGAGGGGCAGCAGGCCTCGGAGTTCTGGGTAGGGCAGACCGTGAAGCTTATAACCCCCCCCCCCCCCCCCCCCCCCCCCCGGTACTCCCTCGTCAGCACTAAGGACGCCACGAAGCATTTGGATGGCGAGAATGACAGAGCCCCCACCACTCCGATATCCTTGGCTACGATTCAACTGGTTCGGTACCCGTCGTGTACTTCAGAGGATGCACTTCTTTTTACGTGAGACCGCTCTTTTATCTTCGTGATGGTTCCGTGTCGAAGCTTTCACCAATGACCATGTTTGCAGCATCAGGTGACTAGCTGCTTTCTGCTGCGCAAAAGCAATTCGCGATACTTCTCCAAGCTCTTTCCCATGATATTGATGAAAGGCCATTGGGTGTTGCTTTTGAAAAAATGTGCCCATATTCTCAAAACCGCCAGGCTCAGTGAGGCAGGATCTCGATCTGTTGATGTGTCGGGCTCATCATCTTCAAAATCGACAACATCGTACGCCTCTTCGACAATGCATCGGACCCAGTGCAGGATCCTATCTTCGCTGTCTGTTGCTCGCATGTCAGCACACAGATCTGAAGACAACAGCATAAACAAATGCGGGCCAGCTTACCACTAAGAGGCGTCGTCGCAACAGATTCAGTCAATGACGAGAGCCATTTACTGAGAAGAACGGCACACTCAAGTCCTGAAAGCGAATGCCGAACGCTCCAGAAGAATGCTTGGCTCCGCGCGACACGGTCAACTCCCAGTCGCACAGGGATGCTGAGCATATGAGCAGTATACAACAGGGCGGTGATGACGCCACCACTTCTTTCCACGGCAGGAGACCGGCTGATGGCCTTGGCGATTCGCACGGGGTCTCGAGATTCGAGGAGTCGGTATGGTCCAAGGTGAAGATAAATGCGCACGTATGCGAGGCCGAGCAGAGAACTGGATGTGAAGGGGATGGGTCCGTTCTCGTTATTGGGATCAAGGCTGGATTCGGGGGCTTGCTGCCATCCTGCAGTCCACGAGCGTAGGCCTCGTCTGTATCGGGAAGTTAGTATCACGTCACGAATTAAGCGGTAAGATGGGCAGGTGGACGAACTCGAGCTTGTCAACCTCCTCGCTAGGAAGAGACGCTGAATGGTCCATGACGGGGAGGGACAAATCGCGGACAATATAGATCCTCTGGAGGAGCCCATGCAAGAGGATGTAGTTACCCAGTGGTGTTGGAATAGGGTCAACAGGAGCGGTGCCGTCTGTGTTCCTCAGGAGCAAGGAAAGAGCGTCTTGGAAATACAGTTGTTGCTTCTCAGTCTCCCGGCGCGCCGTCTGCCATTGATACGCCGACTGCGCTTTCCACTCTCCAGTCGAGCAAGGGAGTCGAAGGCCAACCTCGTTGCTACGTAGCACAGGATACACGTTATATGCGATGCTGTGAGTGTGCATAAAGGAAAAAGCAATGAGTTTGGCTCGGCGCGTCGACTCCTGTCGCACCCACGCCTGCCAGGCGGCTTGCGGAGTGGTCTGGTCGGCAGGAAGTTGAGGAACATCCTCATCGAAAAGACCAACTTCTCGAAGAATCTGTGCCAATAACGCCTGTAGAGCGAATGCTTCCTGCACGAGTGACACTTTGGGTTCCCAAGTGGCGTAGCCCATGAGGGCAATCAGGGCTCGAACTGTCTCTATTGGTTCCCATGGACCCCAGTCCCTCTCCTGAAAACCCTGCGAGGCGCGGCGTTGTGGTGTGAGGTTATGAAGATTAAGGGATGAACCGGTCTTTGCACCAAACGTTTCAGACTCGTGCATCAATCTCTCCATGAGGATGGCCTTGCCAGCGTGAAAGAGTCTCTCAGACATGCGATGCTCGAAGCAATACTGGGCGCCGACTGCCGCCAGACCGAGAATGAGTTCAATGGAGTGTTCAGGGACTCGCCATGTTGGTGTGTGGATGAACGGCATGTGTGAGTGGAAGCCTTCAAAGAATGAGGTCAGATAGCGCGATAAAGCATGTCGTGATGGAAACTTGAAGTCTGGATCGAGAATGTCCCGAAATGTTTCGATAGAGCTGTTGAGACGATACCGCTGCTCGTCTGAGATACGGTACGGTTGTGAATCAATGTCGACGGACCGTGGGTCTTGATACCATGTTAGTCGGGCGGCTCTCGACAATACGCAAGCCATTCGCAAGAGACCTACTTGTATCCGGGAGGGTTTCAGATATGCGATTGCCAGTGGGCGCTGACGGCAGCCATGAACTGAAAGGTGTCCCTGGCCGAGTCCTACTATTACGAGCCCCCGGCGTAGTAGTCCCTTCTCTTGACATTCTCACCGTCGTGTCGGTAGCTTCGTGATCTCTGTCAGGGCCGTGGAAGTAGGGACTCCATTCCGCTGGTAGCCCAACACCATCGAGGAAGTTGGCAAACTCCCTGAAGTGGGCGTCAAATCCCACAGTATCTTGATTGCCTGATACGTTTGCATCAGCCTCCAAAGGTCAGTAAAGCGGACTCGCACCATTGACCAACCATTTTCATAGAACTGGTCTCCAAGCAAAGTCTGTTGGTATGAGGCATCTACGAGAGTGCCGTTCCTTGGAACCGCCATGGGATACAGGTCTGCCGGTGGTGCAGGAGGTTGTTGCTGTGCCCAATGGTCCACGCTCATTCCCGAGAGGGAGACGGCCGCAGCCAGATCAGCTTCAACAGGCCCATGGGCCTCTCCCGAGTCCGGCTCCGATGCGACTCCCGGAGACTCGGATCCATCCTCGTGGAAAGCAATCCGCTGATGGCGGGTCAGCAAGTCACGCCGGGCAAAGGCAGCTCCACATCGACAGATGAATGGCTTCTCCTTAGTGTCTGGAAGAACGTGCCGGTTAGCATCGTAGCACGTGGAACTATTCCGAGGACTTGGTCATGGAATGAGCTAATCGTGTAGCGCCAGCAAGAGGGGTAGATGGTCTTTGACTCCAGAGAAACATCACTCCAACACTTGGAGGAAGCTGAGGGAGGGAGGGGGCACACGAGAACAGATGGGACGACTGACGCGTTCGCACATGGCGCTCCAAGTGCTCGGTGCGCTTAAACGTTCGCCCACAGTGAGGACAGGACCGCGCATCAGGGCCGTGACCGGTTCGTCTCCTTCGCTTAACTGGAGTCGAGTGCGGTCGCGGAAGCTGAGCCTGCTGCGGCGGCTGCTGCTGGTGAAGCGGCTGCGATGACGACTGCGGGTGCGGTTGTGGATGCGAACTCGTGCCATGGTGGGACAGCATCCTTTCCACATTCGCTTCGCGAGACTCTTCGGACTTGTTGCGTGTTGGAGTTGAGGAAGACCGGATAAGTTGGAGAGCAGAGGCTTTGGGGCATCCCTCAGGCTTATGTTGGAGAAGACTTCAGCTTCTGGTGGGTCTTGCTCGACAGAGATAACTCCAACTGCCGTGGATTGGATCGCCCGCTATCTTTGGAGACTGACTCGTAATCAGACACCCCCTTGGCTCCCTGCGACCCTGCGACCCTGCGACCCTGCAACCCAACGCCCTTATCTCACGGAATTAGCCTTTGGAGTCTATTGTCGAGGGTGTTAATGATCATCATCTGCGCCTGAGACAGCCAGGTCGGCCTTCCCTGCTTTCCTCCGAAGTCGTAACCGTATCATCCATCCATACGGAGTATTCGGAAGCTGTTTGCTCTCCCCGCGGTATCCACCAAGTACGTGTTTGTGGACCAAGAGACACTTTCTGGTCCGAACGCCGATTCAACAATTGAGACTGACTGCTGTTAAGTCTACTTCTACAATTCAGCGTACACCTGGCTTTGGAGTTACATACCTATTCATTTCAGGGACAACTCATCCTAGTAATTTCATTGCGAACTTTCATCATGTTTAAATTTCCAGGAGTTGCTTTCATCACTGGCGCCGGAGGGACCGGTGAGTTTCAAGTCACATGGCCTTGAAGCTCAAGGTGACAAGGTCGCATCTTCAAGCTCTAACTCAACTATTTAGGCATTGGCGCTGCAGTTGCCAAGGGTTTCGCGCGATCAGGATGTTCAAGAATTGCCATCACAGACCTCAATAAAAAATCACTGGCGAATACCAGAGATGCCATTTTGCAAATCAACCCAGAGGCACAGGTGTTTAGTCAAGAAGGCGACATTTCGAATGAAGTTTTCGTCAACTCATTCGTTGGCAACATTGCTAAGAAGTTCTCACGCATTGACTACTCAGTAAGCTGCGCCGGTATATTGGGCCAGTCACTACGGTCACACGAAACGTCAACTGCCGATTTCGAGCTCATTACCAATGTCAACTACAAGGGTAGTTGGCTGGCTTCTCGGGCGGTCCTGAGCCGTATGCTTGAACAGCAACCTCATGAAGAGCACCCAGACCAACGTGGCGCCATTGTGAATATCGCGAGTCAACTCGGCATTGTGGCACGGCCGGCGGCGGGTATGATGAGCCACTTCTCTAGCTCGTGTCGCAGGATTACTCACACAATACTTTCGCTTTAGCTCCGTACTGCGCGTCCAAGGCCGCAATCATCAACATGACACGGTCAGATGCCATTGACTATTCGCAAGACAAGATCAGGGTCAACTGCGTCTGCCCTGGAGTCATCGCCACGCCGATGACGACAGCGTCAGAGGAGTTGGTACAGCGACTGAGGCCGGCAATAGATATTGCGCCGATGAAGCGCATGGGAACACCCGAGGAGGTGGCTAACGCGGTGTTGTTCTTGTGCTCAAGCCAAGCCAGCTTCGTCCAAGGCCACGCTCTGGTAGTCGACGGAGGCTACACCATCAACTGAGAAGTGATAATATCAACTCGAAACTCATTAAACACGACCAAGCCTGTGCTACTTCGTGGTAACACTTTCCGCAATCAGATCTGTGAAGTGTTGACAGGACTCTTTCTGTTTTGGTACTGCTGAGGCTCTAAATTGAACACAGAGGAAGCCGCTTAGCCGACAAAGCCGGCACACATTAGATTTCATACCAAAGTGTTAAGTTTGTTACGATTTGAATTCCTTTGTCTACATGCTACCCAGTCATCCTACCATTCACGACAAGATTCTCGGACTGCAGATAGGTCTGACCTTTGGAGTCTCTCCTCACGACCTGTATCGTTCGATGGGAGACACCCTGGTCATCCATTTGCAGACTGTCCGGTCTCATTTGAGATTCTGTCCACAGGTCTGTCACCCTCATCTCCCCAGGAGGCTGCACTAACGATGGTGAGGACACAGGCCGCCCATGTATATCCAATTTGATGTCGTGCTCGAGCTCAATTATTTTCCTTGCAGCCGCAACTAGGACGTCTGCTTCCCAGAGATTTTCCCGCGGGAGACCCAACACCGGCATAAGTCGTAAAAACTCCAGTCGTGTTTCTAGTTCACGACAAGATGAGACTAGAAAGAAAAGCATAGCGCCAAACCCAGCTTCGAAGATGAAGTGCGGATGTTTTGAAGTATTGAAACGTAAAGGGTCTGGGACCTCTGCTTCTAGCCAGAGGAGCCGCTTTAGAATCCTCCGGAAGTTGGTGATGTATCTGTCATAGCCGGCTTCGCTTGTATCGAATGCCATGTTGAGCCATATGCAGCAGCACTCATAACGAGTTAAGAGAAAGCATTGCAGCATCTTAGGTCGATCTGAGTCTGACTTGCTGTTCTGACAATTTTGAGTTGGCGCCTCCTTGGGTTTGATAGCCATGAAATCGTTGTGGAGCTTGTACCACTGGTCTAGAAGACTGTTGATAGCGGCCTGCTCAGAGAGAAGACTAGGAGGCGGTGTTCCTGTTTCATCAGGTTCAGGTGACTTTGAAGCGGCTCGTTGTGTGTTGCGCTGGGTGCGCATGAATTCTGCTGTTCGATTGAAGAGGACATCGAGCATCAGCTGCGCGTCTGAGAATGTCAAGAAGAATTGCGGCATGGGGCCCTCTAGGGCCCTGATGTCAGGGAAATCCGATTCTTCGTCGCCAAAGAAGAGAGCAAACTCGCTAAGCCGCCGGAATATTGGTAGGAGGTGCTCCATGGTCCACGAGAACATGTAGTCAGGAGAGATGCTTTTCAAGATCATGACACCATGCCTGCTGTGCTGCAGTGCTGCTTTTCTGTTGGCGCGCATGATCTCCACGCAGATAAAGAGAACGCAAACGAGCAAGATTATAGGCTGTTTTTCTTGAGAGTCCATGGCCCTCAACTCGTGAATAGCGGCATTGTAGTGGTGGAGGGCCAAATTTTGATTGCTGTGCCGTACAACGGCAGTAGCCTCAAAGGTGCCCTGAGCCTCTTCATAGAGACTGCTGATGGAAATGACGGCGTGTCTGACGGCCGGCTCGAAGTTGCTGAACTGCATGACGACGTGTGTCCAGAAATAGGGATCCACGGCTCCTGACATGACTGGTCCCGCTATCTCACAGAAGTACTGTAGAGCTCGACCCTCGGTGACCTTGGTGACTCCTGGGAAGACCTGGTTTGGCTGGTGTAGGGATATGGTTCCTTGACGAGCGGGTCTGTAACCATCGCAGCGTCTGCCTGTACTGGTGCAGCGATTGCATATTGGTTTAGCCTCGTCGCACTTGACTTTGCGGGCTCTAAAGACCGTTAATTAGGTGCTGATCCGATAGAGATATATGGACCTCGTAAGTGCGGCACAGCCTGAATAGCTGATAGCCTGACACGCTTAGTAGACTTACTTGCAGGTGATGCATCCAGTCCGAACTTTGGGGCTTCCTTTACGGACCATGTTTCTGTCTCGGAAGTATGCTCAAGTTGGCAAGCCTTAACCCCTCTGTTTCCTGACGCAGTAAGCCGCCAGGAGCAGCTTTGGGAAGGGTGTTGGGCTGTGCTTGTCCACTCGTCAGCTGGGAGAATTTGGCGACCGTTCGGCGGTGGAGATGGAATGAAGTGAATCATTCCGGAAGCGCTCACTCAGACGATAGCCGGGCGGAGAGCTATCTGTGCGACCAAACATATCCTACTTGCTGGGGTTCTTGTGGGGAGACAGGGATAGAAGCGAGCCGACCAATGTCAGTCTTGCGTTTGACCAATATTTGTATCTCTGACATTAGCGAGGCACAGCATGAGCCCTCGCCGCGGTGGCCGAGCGGCGAGGGTGACTTTGGTTACTACAGTAGTACGGATTGTGCCGTGGTGCGGGGAAGTGAAATTGAGAAGTTCTGGCGAGTATGCCAAGCCACTCACCCCTTTGTTGGGGAGAATTGAGCCGGAAGCATCCATCTCCAGAATTGCCTGACCGAGACTTGTATGTCAAATGCGGAACTGCGAGACAACCAGGCGGGCACGTGGCGGAGCCATGAGCCATGAATGAGTGAGAGAGAGAGAGTGTGTGTGTGGCATAGCTAATTGGCATTAAGTCATTGAGATTGAGACAAAGGGCGAGATGAAGTGAAAAATCCCCATGGCGTACTTCTATTGTATGCTAGATGCTTTCGCACTGTAGATATCAACCCGGTTGAGCCGTAGGCATCGAGCTGAAATGGCATGCCTCGAAACGGCCCTTTTGACCACTTCTAGTACGACCCTCAGACGGACAGCTTCACGCGCTTAAGATTTGGTGAAGTTGCGCCGTTCACCTCAGGCATTGTCCTGCCATTGACTTTGACGTTTGAGCCCGTTATCAGGGTCTCCGGAACAGACTCAGGAGCTTCGGTGGTGTTCGTGACGCTCTTCCAGTCAAAGTTGGTCTCCCACGCATGTGCAATGGTGAGAATCCTCTTTTCTTGCCATAGCCCTCCGACAATTTGCATGCCTACAGGAAGTAAAACCTGGGCGTCATCTTTAGCAGCGACGAAGCCCACGGGAATTGACAATGCTGGATGCCCGGTCACGTTGAAAACGGCGGTATTGGTGGTCAATCCTATGGTGGGTTCAAATGAACCTAACACTGACTCTCGAGACCCATGTCGCGGTGCCACGAAAGGAGTCGTTGGCATGATTATCGCATCGTACGTTTGAAACTTACTTTGGTAGGCGTCGCTAATCTGCCGACCGATGTTGACCGTTTTGCTGTAGAGACCCGGGAACTTGTCCGAAAGATACAAGCCGTTGATGAATGTGTTCTTTGTGGAGGGGAAGAGCTTTTGAAAGCTCGAGTCGATCCAGGGCAGCCGTGCCTTTTCAAACTCAGTCAGACCAAGACCTCTGTGTCCCGAAGCTCTCCCCAGAATCCCCGACGAGCCCGCAATACGTTGTTGTATTGTCCATATTGAAGGGCCTTCCAGATGAAGAGGGACAGATACGTCCTCGACGATTGCTCCCAAAGCCTCCAATTTGCGGGCGGCCGAAAGGACATGTTCTTTGACTTTGGGGTCAACAATCTCTTGATCAAAGCCCTCTCTCAAAAGGCCAATCTTGAATCCATCCAAACGACCGGAGCTCGCTGATAGAGCAGCAGAGAAGTTGTAGGAGCCATGAGCTGCAGCGCCAAGAGATTTGTCGTCGATGCCGTCGTATCCGGAGATCACATCAAGACACTGAGCAGCTTCTGTGACTGAACGGCAAATGGGCCCTGCATGGTCGTCGATGGCATCGCCACTTGTGACTCCCGTGAATGGCACTAGGCCGTGGGTAGGCTTCACACCGACGCAGCCGCAAAATGAAGCTGGAACACGGATACTACCGCCTTGATCTGTGCCCAATGCAATATCGATCTTTCCAGAACAAACAAGGGCGGCACCCCCAGAGGTGCTGCCGCCGGTGGAGTAGCCTTCCTTATAAGGGTTCTCGATCGTGCCCTGCGCGCTGGTGAAGGATGCCGTCGAGTTGCAAAAGTGCTCACATGTAGCAGTGCCTAGTATATCGGCTCCGGCATCCAGTACCCGTGTAACGACTGTCGCGTCTGTCGATGGCGTCCAAGGAGGGAAAGCATCACTGCCAAAGAATTGCGGAACGCCTGCTACGGCAATGCAATCCTTCAAGCATACAGTCTTGCCTTTCAGGCACACTGAAGAGGAATCAGAAGCTGACTTATCGCCCCTGATCAAGAATCGATGTGCCCACGCATGCCCAAACTCTTGTTCTTCTGCCGTAGGTGTATGTACATTCTCTCGAGGGTATCGTTTCGTGTCGGGGACCGGCTGGTAGTCTGGCAGGCTGTCGATCCTGGTTGCACAATCGTGAACTGCAGCAAGCAGTCTCTGGTAATCGGCCGACTCCTCGGCCTTGATTGTCAAACCGAGTGGCTCGAGTAGCTTTTCGACGTCGCCTTTCTGTACGGGATTATCCCTAGGGCATACTTGTTAGCATTTGAACCGTGCAGACTGGAATGAGTCCTTACGTGGAGATGTCTTTGAAGAAAACAGACATGTTGGGAGGCGGCAATCGTCGACGTTGTTCTGCGGGATCGTTGGTCACCGATGCGTTTCGATTGATTGTGGTAACGACTGATTAGCCAGCATGCTGTTCATAAAGACTCGAGAGTAACATCCATGCCGAAGCCGCGAGAAATTGTCGGGGACTCTTCCGCGGGCCATTGGGTCAATCTGTGGCGAAGGCGGGTTTCCGATGACAAACAGAATGAAGTCGACATTAACGAACGCGATGGCAATATCCGCAGAGTGTCCCCGCTACTCTGTGCCTCCAAGCCCCAGTATCCGTAGTCGAACCTACTGTGGTACGAGGTTTGTGGAGGGAGGGGCGTTGGGGTATTTCGAAGGATGAGTGATGAGAATTTGGAGACATAGTCTACCGACCCCAACTCCACCACCACGAGCGCTGGCATAGGTAATTCACTATCCGTAAAGCGGCCACAAGAGAGAAATTTGGGGTTAGATAGGAATAAGCTTTGAAACTTCATCGAAATGGATTGAGTTAATTGACTGGCTATATAGTAACTTAGATTACCGTCCGCTGTTGTGATAGTTGTGCTGACTGGACCGGGATCAGGCGTCTGCGATCTTATCTAAAATGCAGGAAATTCTACCCATGAGTGATGAGTGTTACCCAAACAATCTTCTCGTACCACGGATAGGCAATGACATTATCTCTATGGCGCCTCGCAAGATAAGATTCGATACTGCTAGCAATCTAACATACTAAGACGATGGAGTCTCCTCAGTCTGCTATGCGCACCACAAGCCTGCCTTTGAAACCGCTATCCTGATAAGCAGTGACAATAGTCGGGATCTCGTCAAACGACATCAGAGTGATGTGGGACCTGATGCTGACCCTCTCCACGGCCTCCATCATCCTTTCAGTGGATTCCCGACTCGCAACATAAGTTCCCCGAATCGTGAGCTCTCTAAAAACGATGACGCTAGAGTCGAACCTCCAATTCTCAGCAGGCAAGCCCAGAACTCCCATAACGCCTCCAATTCGTAGTAGTGTCAAAGCCCAACTGTTGGCTGACAGGGAGTCTGTACAGACAACAACTGCGGCTACTCCCTCACCGTTCGTAAAGTCCATGATCTGAGAAGTCGCATGCTCCGAGCCAGAGTCCACCACCAGTGCAGGCCTAAGATTATCGTTGAACATCTCAGTAGCGAGCTGCCTTCCTGCTGGTCGGCTATCAACAGCTATGGCGCGGAAACCCATGGCGCTGGCAAATTGTAAGCCGAGATGGCCCAGACCTCCGATGCCGACAATGGCCACCGTATCTCCTGTCTCGAGCTCACTTGTTGCCTTTTCTAGCGAGCCCCAAACTGTAGCCCCTGCACACATTAATGGCGCTGCTTGCTCGAAAGACAGAGATGGCGGTAAGCTGACGGTGGTCTCCGGATCTACGGTAAGATACTCGGCAAAAGCCCCATCATGATGGAAGCCGGCTGTTTCTCGCTTTTCGCAAAATCTTGGGTCCAGGCGTTGTTTCTTGCTAGTACGGAGTACCAAACCGCAGCCACTGCATTTTCCGCATGAGTTCTTGTAGTTGAGAGCACCTACTCTATCGCCGACCTTCCAACTCTCACTGCAGTCTTTGCCGACTTGAACCACGATGCCGGCAGGTTCATGAGATGCGATCATGCCCAAGGGCGAATTGAATTGTCCTTGTAGAACTTGTAGATCCGAATGGCAGAATCCGGCCGCATGAACTCTGATAAGTAGCTCATTAGTGCGAAGAGCCGGAGTTTCCCTCTCGACTAGCTCATATGGTTTGTTGTACTAGGGCTTGAATTAGCCTTCCCTCAAGTATCTTCGAGGTTATGGCATCATGAAACCAACTTCCTTTATCTGAGCTGCTCGCATCAGCGGGGGAATTACGGGATTTGCCATGATTTTCAAAGAACGGGAAAGAAAAATATAGGTCTGCCCAGGGCCGATGGCACAACCAGGGCGCTGTGACAGTGGCTGTTCTTGAGGTTGTCTCTGTCGGAAAATGGGACAACCGAGTCTCGAAGATAGCACGAGTTGAATGGGAACTTCGTGCAATTAAGGTTTCGTTCTGATTCTATTCTAGATGTACCTATCATATGGATGGCCGGGTTTCTGTAGGATTGAGGCTGGAAAGCTGTCGATGGCCGCTGGCCGTTATCATCTGACTCAAAGAGGGGGTCACATCAACTTGTCAAGTTGTTGGCGCAACTCATGCGCCTCCCACTTTGCCTCCAAATCCGTAGAATACCACCCCACCAAGCCACCAAGTAAACTCTAAGTCTCCAACGGGACTATGGGCCAAGAACCCGGCGACCGAATAGACCCCTCCACCCCTCCTGGACAATACCCCTCCTTTTTCGATACCATAGCTAGTACGAACTGAATACAAGTGATCGGTGAAATGGGTTGAGAGGAGTAGTCAAATCCCCGATGGTTTCCGTCCAATCATAGGTGTTACAATCAACAGCTAACCAGCCCCCCTTCTTCCAGGCTCTACCTTCAAATGAGATGAGCCCACACAAGCTACCCCGCGATAAGCGAGCTAAAGCATGCGAAGACATTGCAGAATCAATAGCATAATGAATCCCGATAAGATCATGAATACCCCTCAGTGACCGACTGAGCCACTGCTAGGTTTCACTGCTTAAAGGGAATCAGTTCGCTGCGAAGCAACCTCCTCTTCATCTCTTCCCGAACCCCGCACGAGTCTCCAGCAGCAGATTTCAGATCGTTTCACTCACCCGTCCCTCCCAAAGAACTGCGCAAGAATCCTATCACACATCACAATGGGCAAGAAGCGTGTTCTCGTCAGCTATGGCGTCGACGTGGACGCGGTCGCCGGCTGGCTAGGATCTTACGGAGGAGAAGACTCCTCTAACGATATCAGCAGAGGTGAGCTTTTCGTGAAAGCCGGGTCACTGTGGTTTACTTGAGCTCACGATCGAGATTTCCAGGTTATTTTGCCGGAACAATTGGTGTTCAGCGGGTGCTCAAATTCCTCGCCAAGTACGACATCAAGGCCACATGGTTCATCCCAGGACACAGCCTCGAGACCTTCCCCGAGGACATGGCCGCTGTTCGAGACGCCGGCCACGAGATTGGGCTTCATGGATATTCGCACGAGAACCCGACAGATATGACTATCGATCAACAAAGGGAAATCCTTGATAAGACATATCGCATGCTTACAGAATTTGCGGGCAAGCCTCCAAGAGGTAGCGTCGCGCCGTGGTGGGAAACAAGCAAGGAGGGGGCCCAGCTTCTGCTCGACTATGGTATTGAATACGACCACAGCATGAGCCATCATGATTGTCAACCATATTACCTACGAACTGGCGATGAATGGACCAAGATCGATTACAAGAAGAAGCCTAGCGAGTGGATGAAGCCCCTTGTGAGGGGACAAGAAACAGGGCTCGTAGAGATACCGGCCAACTGGTACCTTGACGATTTGCCGCCAATGATGTTCATCAAAGATGCACCCAATAGCCATGGATTCGTCAATGCCAGAGATGTGGAGGATATTTGGCGAGACCATTTTGACTACTTCTATCGCGAGTACGACGAGTTCATCTTTCCGCTAACAGTCCACCCGGACGTGTCCGGTCGTCCTCATGCATTACTTATGCACGAAAGACTTATTGAACACATGAAGTCGCATGAGGGGGTGGAGTTTGTTACGATGGAGCAGATTTGCGACGAGTTTAAGGCGAAGAAGGCGCCCGCGCAGGGAGCAGTGATGCCTGCGGAGCCTGGCGCCATGCTCAAGAAGGAAGTCATAGGAGCATAAATAGTTTACCTACTTATGTAATGGACATTATATCCGCATTCTCAACTGCTGCAACTTTTATAGGCATTCCACGTTAGTTGCCTCCGAGTTCGTATGCTTGCTTCACACCAGGGAACGAGGGTCCTTCTAGGCGAATTACACGTATTACTCCACCATTCCTCTTTACACAGGCGCTGACCATAACTTTTGAGACATAGCCAGAAAGTCCTGTCGAACATTTCTATAGACCTCGTTCTGTGTCTCACAATAAGACCTTTGGAGTAACTTCTCGTTGCGAAATCCGTTCGCATATATGCCTCCAAGGCTCCTGCATTTACCCCGCGTTTATCACTCACGACGCTCTCGTCGAGTCGTCATTGTGGACCTTTGTCTTTGGGGTATATCTGCCGGGCTTTCTTGACTCCAACTTCGGCACATGGGCTCGACAGCTGCTCCAAGTTGTCACTTATACCCCAACCTTATCGCAGCAACCTTGTTTTGACCCACTGACGCTCCACAAACGCACATCAACCCCTGAACGCGCTTTTGACTTTGGGTGTCGCCATGGGTCGGCGACCCACGATCTTGGAGCGGCATCTAAAGCTCGTCGCGGGGTTGGGCAGTCTCTCCTTTCGACAGCTATCTTGCGTCGGAACATCTTTGCCGCTAGGAGATAAGCCACGCCAGGCTCTCATATTCATCTCAATCGTCATAATCGATATCACCAAATGCTCCAACTTTAACCAACAGGAACGATCTTATATTGAGGTGATGTCCGCGGCTCATCCGTCACACTACGGGATCATCAGAAACCAACCATTCTAGTCGGCATCGGGATCATCATCAACAATCGGAACCGCCGCTGACATGTCTCAGACCAATTCTGAAAAGAGCGATGCCATCACACCGGCGCCGGCTCGAAGCAGCGGCAGCATTGATGCGGGAAAGCTGGAAAATGCCGAAGATGCCTTTGAGGTCTTCAAGCGCGGTGAAGGAACGGTCGATTTTCGTACCGTCGGCTGGATCCACGCCTCGGTCATCTTCTTGAAAGGTAAGATAGCTTTCTTCATTAGGCAAGTAGAGACGAAGCTAACAAGTTCAAGTAATTTTCGCAACCGGTGTTCTCACAATCCCTTCAGCCATGTTCGTGTTGGGTGCGCTGCCCGGTGCTATCAATGTCCTTGGCTGGCAATTTCTCAACACGTATTGCGCCATTATCCAGGGAAACTTCCGCAACGCCCATGCTGGATGCCATTCCATCGCTGATATGGCCAACGTTGTGGGTGGTGTTTGGCTGAAGGAAGTCGTCGGAGTCTTGTTCCTCGTCACTTACGCAATCGTCGGCGCGTCGGGCATTTTCGGCACTTCCGTTGCCTTTAATGCGCTCTCTAACCACGCCATTTGCACCAACTATTTCATGTTGGTCGCTACTGCCTGTGTCTTTATTCTTGCCAGTGCTCGAAAATTCGAAAAGATTGCATGGTTAACATGGGCTGGCTTCTTGTCAGTGTATATCGCCGTTTTCATTGTCGTGTAAGTATACTATATTTTAACCTACACCATAGCTCCTTGCGATTGTATCAGTCTTTCCGCTTGCGCTCCATAACCTTTGCAGATTTTGCTAATGTTCATCACAGCGTTGCGGTCACGCAAGTCGACAGGCCTGCCGCTGCACCAAAAACCGGCGATTTTGATCTCGGTTACCATGTTATCGGAAACCCCAATTTCGTAACCGCAATCACTAGTGTTGCCACAATCTTCTGCTCTGGTGCAGGAACATCGGCGTTCCTCCCCGTTATCTCGGAAATGAAGAAGCCCAAGGACTACAATAAGGCTGTGTATCTTTGCATGGGTATTGTCACAGCGTCCTACTTGACTTTCTCGCTTGTCGTCTACCGCTGGTGCGGTCAGTGGGTTGCCTCTCCTTCTCTGGGCAGCGCAGGAGAGACCGTCAAGAAAGTTTCATACGGTATCGGCTTGATCGGTTTGATGGTCAGCGCCTGCCTCTACATCCACGTCGCCGCCAAGTACTTGTTTGTCAGAATCCTACGCGATTCTGTTCATTTGCAAAAGAACTCGGTTGTTCACTGGTCTGTTTGGCTCGCGTGCACCCTCGGAATGTCGGTGGTCTCATTCCTCTTGGCGTCTGGCATTCCTATCTTTAACTACCTGTTGGCATTAGCAGGGAGCTTGACTTTTGCACCTCTGGCACTCGGTCTTCCTGGTTACCTATGGATCTTCGATCATCAGCATTACAGGCAGGGAAACTGGTGGCAAGCCATGGTCTACTGGCTGAACTGGCTCATGATTCTGCTAGCCGTTTTCTTGACCATCGGTGGTACGTATGGTGTCGTTCAAAACATCATTGATGCCTATGCCGACGGCTTGATTGGAGGTGCCTTCTCATGCGCGGACAATAGCGGCTCATCATGAGAGGTCGGTGAAACCGGGAAAAGCTATGAATGTTTGATACAGATGGAATGGAATGTTCTTATTCTGACAGATGTCATGTGACTTGATTGTCCCTCAGAGAATTTCGAAATAATTAGTTATCTGGAGCCAAAGTGACACAAATTGTTGGGACTTTCGTCCATTTTCGTTCCCTAATACCTACAACGAGGCTACTTACTGCCTAGAGATCTCAATGGAGATGGCGTAACAATTGCGAGTCAACCGTAGGAAATCTTCTTAGATGACAACATGACTTAAAATGGAATAAAAACGTCGCTCGATACTAATACTGACTAAACACAAAGTGACAGTATAATCACAACATAACAGTCATGCCTTGAGCATTTCTCCCAACACCAAGCCGTCCAAGTACAAAATGTTGGAGTTGCTTCTTCGCGATGGCGTCAACCACAGTGACTGCAGACTGCGTTGTGCCGTTGCCCGGACTCAGCGCATACACAAATTGTCCAGCAGCCTTCAGGTCAGTCAAACCAGGATCGCCATTGGAACTGAGATCGAGGATGCTTTTGATACTTGCATCGTTCAACGACATTTCGATCAATCTGTTGGTACCGACATCCGTGACGAATGCGCTGCCAGTGGCCGAAGAGACTGCAACCCAACATGTTGCTTTCTGACCGCCGACAACACCCATGCCCTTGACAGAAGCGGCATCTGACTTCGGGTCAACATATAAAATAGCCCCGCCGAAAGAGGCATCAGTGACAAAGAGGTTATTGCTCTTGGGAATTGTTGATGAACCAAACAAAACTGCAGTACCGTTGGGCGACGATTGCACCCTGTATTGTTGGACAGAACCCTTATTGCTGACCCTGTATGCACCGAGAAACCCTGTCTTGTTCTGAGACGGATCACCCTTGACTGTAGTGAACAGGGTGCCCTGGTCGTTGGAAAAGAAGACTTGGGATATGGTGTTGGTCGGTCCGGCGGGAGGAGTCGTCTGGCTAAGTTCTACGGGGCGAAGAGAATCCATAGATTCCAGTCCATCTTTGGAGAATGTAGCGCAAGAGACTCCCGATTGTGCCCCAGAGCAGCCGACGCAGACAACATTATGTTTCATTGATGCCGCTATCGTATTGGGAAACTGGCCAGGAACCGCAACTGGTTGGCCTATCATGGTGAGCTTCGTGGGATCTGATGGGTCGATGGAGAACATCGTAACCGTATTCGAACCAGCATTGACGGCAAATAGGTTCTGCAGGACTAAGATCAGCACCAGAGCTAACAATAAAAGTTATGGAGTTGGCGTTATTACGTTGCCTACAACAGCCAAAGCAGACTGAGATGCTAGCGCATCAGGAGCTGCTGGCTTGTTTGATGTGCCATCGAGGAAGTTCGAGCCGGATCCACCAGTTGGAAATACTGCTCCCTTTGAGAGCATGCCATTGTCGGATATCGGAATGGCAACAACAGAGTTAGCCTGATCGTTGGTGATGGTGTAAATAGCTTTTCCGGTTTGAGGCTTGGCTTTGCATCCCACCATCCTTCCCGAGACGATCGCAAAGGATGAAGCAAAACAAAGAGAGAGAATAATGTGTTGACGCATATCGGGAAGATGGTACTAATGGTGCGATGAGAAAGATGATGGGTCGTGGGTACTGAAAATGACTGATGGATGTATCAAGTAGAGTGTTCTATGCATGGAAATGGACGAGATGAGTAAATCTTTAGACAACTTTTGAAAGAAGGCCAAGGCGATGCTACATATATATATCGCAAATCCCTTTCCAGGTGTAGGCTATTCTATGTAGTCGCTCCCTCTTTGAATATTTGCGCGAGGTTATTGTGCATTTTTTCGAGAGCAACATGATGTTGTAATCCATCTTTCCTATTTAGGAAGAGTCGATGACAAAATCACAAACGCGTGCACCCAAATACCGATTAACGTCCCGAAACCCACATCGTGTAAGCGCTCGAAGGAGCAGTTACCAGGAATGCTGGCAAACACGTCTCCTCCTCATCTTCTCTCATTTCCAATACTCTCTTCTCATCCACTCGCTTCGGCCAATATCAGCGGATTCCACACCAGAGAAGAAAACCCGCAAGATCAAGTGGTTTGATTCCACATCGCTTGCGCCCACTGAATAAGGTTATCGAAACGCTACGCCCTCCCTGAAGCGCTCCTTTCGTCTGACATGCGGTAAGACCTAACCCGAAGAGGCAATTTTGATATCCTCATCGCGTCAGATGAAACGATGTGGACCATTTGATCGTCAGCCGAACATCCGAGACCACCCCAAGATCTGAAACTGCCATCTGAAATGAAGAATTATGGTGTGTAATCGCAGCTTGCACTCAGTTAATCTTGTATTTCAAGAACATCGAGAGCTTGCAGCCACTGCATAACACCAATCATCGACCGTGAAGGAAAGCAAAATCGAAGTGAAGTTTATTGTAACTCGGCTGTACCCGTTATCAATCTTTCGAAAGCCTTCAACATCGCTTCATCTTGTCCCCTTGGAATCAGTTCAGCATGAGCAGCAAGATATTCCGTATCTTCAACCCTGGAGGTTCGTCTTTGAGAGGCGGACAGAGATCTGCATGTCATGCAGCTGTCTGTGCATGACTGTGTCGTTGTTCGGGATCTAAATGCATCACAGAGGCCAAGAAAGACCCGGTCGAGAAGCGACGAGAACAACTTCGAAGTGCTCAACGGTATGGAAAAGCATCTCACTCAGCGCTGAGGCGTTTCACTGATTGCTTGTCTAGGTCGTACCGTGATCGCAAGGACAAGTACACCAGGTCGCTCGAACAAGAAGTTGAAAGAGCCCAGAATAGAGAAGCTCAACTTATGATTCGATGTGAGCAGCTGTACGCTGCTCTGGAATCATTGACAGAAATGCTTTCTCGCCATGAAATCGGGATCCCTGCTTCGTTCGGGGGCAACTCAATCAGTAAAAACGACATTGGAATGCACAACGCGATTCCACCTGGAACAGCTGAACCCTGGACTGAGATGGGAGCCGTCGATTATTCAACAGCTCCGGGCATAGAACCGAATGGCGTTCGAACTATTGCCAGAAGCTCATTCCAAGTAAAACCTCAAAGGGTGGCTGATGTTGTTGCCGATGACCACAAGCAGGCAGCAGACGCCCTGTCGCATCATCATTCCACCGAAAATGATAATTCAGGGATGCAATGGTTGAAGACTAACAGAGCAGTAGCCATGCCCGATTGTGACGACAATCGAATGTGCGAAGTTGACCTAATCGCAGCAGGTATGGAGTTTGTTCTAAGGTGCGACCACAACCATGCCATGATGCGTCGATCTCCTTTGACAATCCCGGCTTCATGAGTCGCAGACTTGCTGACTCCATTTGAAGGCTCGAAAGTCCTTGCCTTGAACATATTCATGGTGACCCCAAGAAGCCTGATGACTCAACGGGTCACGTTTTGACAGTCTCGGCCCAAACTCTCTCTCTCCAAACAGACCCAGCTCAACTGAACATAAAAGGTCCTGCTGGTCCTCCGTCATACCAAGGCGCACCCCGGGATATTCTAGAACGAATCTTGGCCCTCTCTCCGCATGTCTGCTTCGACGGGGAGATGACGCCAGCTCAAGCATGGGAGTACATTCGGAGCCAACCTCATTTTGGTGGCATTGAGCTGCGAAGATTATGGGCGCTTGTTGATCGTTTGATAGAGGGCATTAAATGTCATGGGTGAGTCAAGCGCTTCAAGAACGGACACTTTTTCAGACTGACAATGAACCAGTTTTGGTGCTGTGATTGAGACCCAGAGCTTTCAGACATTGGTATACGACGCTCTACTGCTCGGGATGCAGTTCTAGAAGAAGCTGTCTTGGGATTAACAACGGCAAGCACCAAAGCTCGCAACATGGCTACTGAGATTCGAGGATTGTGTTCAAATGCAACCGATAACGAAAAGGAAGACGACTAGGAGGATTTTCTTCAAGATTAAATGGATTAATCCCAAATTCTATAATGGTCAGGCTCCTAAACCATCATTCGCATCTATCTGGAGAAAGTCCCAGGTCGCCAAATCGCGAAAAAGGCTGGGCATCCCGTAGTCGAAGAAATCGTAAAAGGCCCTGTCAAAATGAGAGTAAGATAGCCCATCGACGACCCCAGTATCCGCCTGATTACCCGGATGATCATCATTATCTGCGGGACTTTGCGGTTGAGAACCCTCACTAGGTTGCACCAAACTCGATAAGGGCAGCACTGAGCTTCCAGTCGTGCTCTGAGTTGGTCGGTGTGGGGCATTAAAACTGCTGACTAGGTTAGTAGCGACGTTTGCGTGTTGACGTATGTTCTCGCAAGTGCATGAAGCGCCATCTGCTGTTCGAATGGGAGCAGCGCCAGGCCTGGTAAATTGCTGCAAACGTCTCACTACCCTGGCTACGCCCTTGGCACTGGTCCATGATTGACTGAGGATCATGAGACTGTTGTAACATGCTCCAAGATCTTTGTGCGCTATTTCTGGTGACCGTTCGCCATCCCTGAGAGCGCGATAGATTACCGTGGTAGACATTGACATAGCATAAGGTACAAGAGGAAGAGGCGGGAGATTCTCAGGGCCTTCGAGACAGACGATGCGTAGTATACTATCAGCGGAGGATAGGCGTCGCTGATACTGAACGCTCTCCGGCCCGCTATAGCGGCAGGAGAGCATCGCGGCGACGTGATACCAAATCTGCAAGTACACTAAGGAATTAGAGAAAGGCACAACCCACTTTTGCCTCCAAGGGCACTTACATCTGTGAGACCTCTGGAACCCATCCAGGCAAATATCAGTGGTAAGCTCAGAGAATGTCGGAAATGCATTACAGTCATCATCCGTTGTAGTCGAGCTAGCTTTGTAGACCCTAGTTGCCGATTTCATCAAATCCCCGAGAGAGAGAGATATGGCCATGAGCTGAGACCGGTAGTGATTCTTTCGGGGAGCGATACGTTCAATCCCAACGTCTGTATCATCTATCATGAACGGAGCAGCGCCCATGACGGGCTTGTTCAGCCGATCAAAACTTCGCAGTGTCCACCACAAGAAGTCGCAACGCTCTTGTTCGGAATTAACAGGAACCTTTACATGCAGGGATATTGCCCATGCTTCGGATATAGCCTGAGAAAGATAACCCGATGAGCGATCCAGTCCGCTCAGGCCGTCGTTGTGCAGATGCACCAAAGCTAAAATTTGAACCTTGGTGATTCGGTCGGGCTCAAGATCGGCCTTGATAGAAGCATCAAGGCCCTTGAGCAATCTAGACGCAAATTCTCTCTGATCCATGATCGTGTCATCCTCATGGATTCTAAGAAATGGAGCTGCTTGTCTGAATTTACAGGCAACGAGGGAGATTGCCCTGATGAGGAAGACTGATGCTTGCCCGTTGCTATAGTTCCGGAATATTACAGCTCCATCTACTACTGGAATGAGATCATCCAAGAGCATGTTGTAAATTGGGAGAAGAATATCTGTCGTCGACTTTGGTAATTCAAGAAAAGCCCCCTCGTCTTCAAGATACCGTCGTTGGTTGTCTGAAATCTCGAGTCTCCTCAACTTGCGGCGGTGACGATCGTACCAATTGCGCTGGCGAAGAGACGTTTCCTCGAGGGAAGAGGCGTCTTCAGGTGTATTTAAGTCATTTCCCAGGCGATGTGAGTGTACTAGACAAGTTCCGGCCTTTTCTGCAAGCCTGGCCCCTGTCGAATCCATGGAGAGATCTGCTAAGACGAATTCTGGGTTGTACAGGCTGACACGGCTCGGACTAGGACTCGAGTCGCGAGTATTAGATGCCTGGCCAACTGGGTCTGTGGTTGACCTATCGCCGCGTTGGCCTGCGTATGGTCTTTTGGTGGCACCACCATGATAACACCGCTTCTTTCGTGTGCGACAGCTTTGGCAAGGTGAACAACTTCCGTTAGTCGTGAGTGGTCTCAATCAGGAGGACATAGACATGAAGGGAGTTGACTTATCTTGGGATGAACGTTTGGCGTTCTGCTTCGCCGAGGCCTGCCAAACAATTTCCATGTTCGCCCTTTTTACCGATGGCTGGTCGGATGCTGACAGAAGACGTAAGGTAGGAACGGTCAAGTATTATGAGAAAGAAGGAAGACTTTTGAATGTTCATTCGTCATCTTGCACATCCACGTAGTTGTACAAATGATGAAATGCCTTTATTCCGAAAGTTCGGGTGATGTTGCGGAGAAGAGTTAAGTCTGGTGGAGTCGATGCGACCAGCTGTAATGATTCCTGACGGCTGGTTGTCTCCGCATGTGGATAGTCGTCATCTGGACCAATCAAAAACGTTGGGGAATTGCAATACCCATACGGAGTACCTCTGGAAGGTGTGAAGATGCGGGGAAATGGCCTAGTCGTTTTAAGTGTCTTCGGCAACCTACCCACCCGTTTTATATCGTGTCTTTTAGATTGAAATCATTATATCAAGTTGAGCGCGTATATGGGGCATATTATATATATTATATAGTTGAGTTATATACTATATTGTATGATTTCCCTTGAAAGTAGATCCCGTTGAGGTTGATCTTTTGCGCCTATAAAGCTGGAAAAAAACCACTATAAACCCCTATAAACCACTATATAAATAAAAACTTAAAATAACTCTCTTTAAAGTAAAAGAACCATAAATTAATTACGTAATTATGGCTATATAATAAATTAAAAATAGATTTTATATACAAATAAAATAAGCATTTGTAAATAAATGAAATAAATAACCGCTTATTAAATAATTGGATAATTATAAATAATATAAAATAAAAAATATATTTAAGATCGGGACTTATACATAATATAGATTTAAGCTAGGCTTAAAAATAGACTTTTTATAGTTTCTTTAATTATTAACTTTATATTAAATTCGTTAATTATTTTTAACTATTTTTATTAAAAACCTTTTAATAAAACTATTATTAATTATTAAAACTTCATTTTAAAACTTATAAAACGTAACTATTTTTTTAAAGTATTTAATAACTTTATTTATTATTGTTTAGTTATTATAGCCTAAACTTTTATAAACTTACCTTATTATAATTAGCTGGCCGTAATAAATAATTAGTATTAGGAGAGAATAACTAAATAGGCCGTTAGAATTAAAAGTCTCTAAGTCATAGAAACTAAGGATTTATATTTAACGGATAGAGTAATTGAATATAGATACTAGATCTCTAGACCATATAAAAAGATAACCGGACTCTAAACGGTACCTAATTAGACATACAAATCTCTCATTACTAAATAACCTTACCTCCCTATAACGATAAACATTTATAATAAAAGATCATCCAGAATATGTTAGATAGTCGCAGCTATCAAGTCAGCATCAGCTTATAGCACTTAGAGAAGGGAATTTGTATATAATATTATTAAATCTAGTTTCAATGATTATGGGCCTAAATCGCTCGTTATTCTCCAAATGTTGCTAAAAAATCAGATTCTATACTTCTATTCTACGATCTAGTGCTTGGGTTATTCTATTAGCCCGTGACTTTGATTCTCATATAGTATAACAAAGTAGCCTTATATCGATCACAATACTTTGATCTGTTATAGCGTTTCCACATATCCCATAGTATTCGTAGCGTACAAATTAAGGATAACTCTTAAGCAACGCCAATAACATGATTCCTATTTGCTCTCAATTATGTCAAAACTCTACGCACTCTGGAGGAAATAGGGATCAATTGCAGCGGGCTTAACAGCAGAGACAATGCTATCGGCAACACAAAGCTGCGTGCGATTGTTCCATGTTACATCAACAGCACGCTTCCAAGCAACCTCTGGCTGTGATAGTGACTCGATGGTATAAAATATTCGGCAGTTCGCGGGCTCCCAGAGAAATTGTAGTGGTACCTGGGCGTTAGATAAAGCAAAAGCGTTCTTTATGTTCAAGGCGCCGGCGGCTCTGGGGTTCATTGAGCGCTTGATAGCATAACCCTTAGCTAGCTCGCCAAGATCTCCGAACTCGAAATCGTTTCTTTGACTCTCGGGGACCAATCGTAGAGCAGACTTAACATCAATAGTTAAATCATTGAAAGACAAAAGCTGAGCACCTTCGACGCCTGCGATAGATTGCATAATGCCAGTCTGAGGGCGCCCACCCATCACAGTCGTCCTTACCCCTAATTGCTGAATTAGAAGATAGGAGAAGATTGTGCATGTAGATGCACAGGTACCGTCTGTAAGTAGGACAACATTTTCTGGAGAAAAGATGCTTGCAGGCGGGTTTGTCCTCGTTCCAGTTCCGGTCAAGTTGAAAAGAGGGTCTGGCTGATCCATAGGAATCTGCTGATAAGCGGAGAACGCATCGCCGTTCAGCGATACAGGGTGTAAAATTTGCTCCACGGATTTGAATTCTCGTTTATCAGGTGTAAAAACGCCCTTTGGTAGCAGATTGCTGAGTAAAGGGCTTCCGCGAAGGTTGCTCAAGGCCTCCTGTTCATCGAGGGTCTTGGGTGTAAAGTTCGCCGGAATCGCAGCAGCGAGCCGAGCCAAAGTAGTCACACTAGGCGGCAAGCGCAAATTATTTGCCTGGAATCGACTGACGTGAGGGAAGAGCTACGGCACAAATTAGCAGGGGCAAAACGCATGTTACATAGCGGTGGGAGTAGGGCTTGCGTACTTGGGCAAACAAGTCGAAACCAGCAAGAATAAAGCCACCTCCGTTGCCTGTGACGTCGATTACAAGTTTCGTTTTACCTGCCTTTTGACTAGCGGCCAAAAATTTCTCGACCGTTTGTTGAAAGTCGTTCAAGTACGCGAAACTGTCGACTGCTTCCGGTGGCGCAAAAGATGACACAGCAAGCACAGCAACGTCCATGTATCCAGAACCGTTCAAAAAATACCCCGATGTCAAGTTGATCCCGCTATCCCGAACTTGAGGAGTTGGGTAACCGTCTATTGGTGCGGTCAGCGGTGACACCACCCTTAGACTATTGGACCTGGATTGCCTTGTTTTGTTCCCTGCATCGGCTGGCGCGTTGGACAAAGGCAAGTCAGGATTGCAAAATCTGTTATAGTAATCTTCTCCATTCCTGATCCCAGTGAAGTTGACGCCTGGCCGAAGGATAGCAAAGCTTTCTTTAACACGCTGCTCGCCGTTTTCGTAAGCCAGATTGATTGTGTCGCCTTGATAGACGGGTGAGACAGATAGCACCAAAGAGTTTTGTTTGGTTGCGTACGACTTGAACTGGGAATTCCACTGAGAGTCTGGATCTTGAAGTCCACTGTACTTAAGATTCAAGTCTTCAATCAAGATCTTGGCATCCCTACCATTGATCTTGGCAATGGCGGACGCAGAAGTATTTTGTTGTAGTTGTCCTAAGACCAGTGAGTCAAGTGGTAGCCTGTAAGAGAGCCTAACGCACCTAAGTGATATAACCTAGGAATGTCGACGCCGTCCTGAGAGATTGAAACCACGTCATTCATCAGACTATTACGAAAGCTGAAGACTTTAAATACATCGCCTCGAAATACGAAGTGCCCATCATGAGCCGCCGATATCAACTCAAGGATATCTAGTTGGAAGTCGTACTCGCTGAGGTACCCACCGGCTCCAACCTTGGATCTGATCCTCTCAAGGCCGCTTTCAATATCGACTGCTGGAAGTTTGTATGAAGGTGGAGGACTTTTCAGCCAAGAAATGGTGCTTTGTAGTTTCACGTATGACCCAAGGCTGTTGATGAGGTCTATAGCGGGACCAGGCTTGTTAGGGACAGATCGTAAGCAATCGTATGCAAGTTTTGCTGGCACTTGAGGAGGACCTGAGCATCGTTCTTAGCTAGGATCCAAATGGATGGGTTAATGCGCCAATCCTCAATTTCTATTTCTCCTCAATTTTGTTTTCAGCCAAACCCTTTCGCGCTCAAATGATCGCTCAATCTAGCGGTGAGTAGGAGTTGTGTTGGGTTGGACGTACCGTTTGCTCTATGTTGTAGGAGAAACGTATTGACACTTGAACATGGGCTCTCCACAGGATCGGTGGTCGATAATGAAGACCTCTCGGCTTCTAGTAGTGCGGATGTGGCATTTTCGAAGGGGCTGGACGATTTTTGGGACCGAACTCCCGCCATGACCGTAACGGCGTGAATCCAGACCAACCAAACAGTGGTCATCATAGTGTAAATGGCCATGTCGAGGTTCATGCTGGAAATTATTCTCGTCTTGTGTGGTCGCCCGCATCGTTAGTATGTATATATAGGGAAATCAGGCAAAGGCAAGATCGTGTCAAGTCGAAAGTCATTGTACCTTATCGAGACGGAAGTTCCATAGAGACGCTTAAGTTTAAGTTTAAGTTTAAAGCCCGAAACCACGCACTCTCGCTGCAGCTTCCGAATCTGCCCATCCACTCGTCCGGAAAGTTTCTTCAATTCAATATGATCGTCTGAGACATTGCATTCATAGAATTTGAACTTTTAGATAGTTCGATCAAAACGTACGGTGTTACATATAAAGTCTAAATAACATAAAAGCCAGGATGATCTATTACACCTAACGTAGCGAACACGATGAATTGTAGTAGAGTGGGTAGGAGATGCCTACTGTACTAATGACATGCCGAATTACGACCTGATTTGCCTAGTACGGATCTTCGAGCGGTAGGTGTCATCCTGGCGGTGTTATGATATTTGGGCGTCTATGAATCTGGTCGTGATTCGCTTTTTATATCTAGCTATCGGTTCATTTTGCTAAATTAGGTCTTGAATTTACTTATTAGGACTCTTAACCTAAATAACACGTCGTTTAATATAGAATAATTTGGGCTTAAATCCTGATATATACGATTCTTTGATTTTAAACTATTTATACTCTTAATATTATTTTTTATTAGTTATATTAGACCTATTACGACCTAACGTATATAACTAACCCAGAGGCTAGCTACCGGGCCGTAGCGGCTATAATATATTATATATATATATAAAACTAGGATACGGTTACTCTTTATTACGGCACTAGGCATTAGTCCTTATATTATAGCTAGCTAGTCGTAATAAGTATATTTATAAAAGTTAAGGCTATAATATTAATAAATAATATATTATAGTTATAAATAGCTTCCCTAAAGCTATATCTATACATCGTAAAATAAATAAGGCTTTAGTAATTAATTATAGTCTTATTAAAAAGGTTCTTAATAAGGATAACTAAAAGCAATTATAAAATCTAATATTAAGTTAATTATTAAAAAAGCTATAAAAAGTCTATTTTTAAGCCTAGTTTAAGTTTATTTTATATATAAGTCCCGTATATTATCTAAATAGTTCTTTTATAGTTAAGTGTTACGACCTAACGTATATAACTAACCTAGAGGCTAGCTACCGGGCTATAGCGGCTATAATATAATATATATATATATAAAATAGGGACGCGGTTACTTCTTATAGGACGGAAGAATTATAGAATAAGTTATGTATTAATAAAATAAGGATTATATTAGACTATTTTAATCTAATATAATTTAGGGTCTAAATGATTATTCTAAATTAGAATAATCTATCACTACATAGGCGATAGTTATATATTAAAGCCGTTGCGGCCACCACTAGAGTTAAAAGTGGGGCCACGAAGAGGGGGGGTTAAAGTGTTACGACCTAACACGTATAGCGAAGCCAGGGTCCTGCCCTATAGGACCGCGGCGGCTACCATACTATATATATATAAGTACGGACTTAGGAGGACCCCCCTCAGAATAGAAGAACTATAGACAAGTCATATAACTACGATCATATAATAAAATAAAGAACGGACGCTCATAAATAAGTAGGATAGACGTTTATAAATAAATAGGACGGATATTTATAAATAAATAGGACGGTCGATTATTTAGTAAACGATTAAATAATTATAAATAGTATAAGATAAAGGATATATTTAAGATTAAGATTTATATATAATATAGACTTAAGCTAGGCTTAAAAATAGACTTTTATAGCTTCTTTAACTATTAACTTTATATTAGATTTTACGATCATTTTTAGCTATTTTTATTAAGAACCCTTTAATAAAATTACTATTAATTACTAAAGCTTTACCTTATAGCTTATAAAACATAACTTTCCCTAAAGTTATTTAATAACCTTATTTATTATTATTTAATCCTTACGGCCTAAACTTTTATAAACTTACCTTACTACGACTAGCTGGCCGTAATATAAAGCCGGTATATAAAGGAGGTATAAAGCTATAAAGATTCTTAATAATAAAATAGATAAAAATAGTATATAATTAAAGCTATAAACTAAATTATTATAGGAATCTAGTTGTTACGATTTCTCTAGGGAAATTCCACTGAGATTTCCCCGTGAATACGGAGAGAAATCTAGCGGTAAAACTCTTAAGATTTCACCGGGAATTCTCAGTAAAAAGGTATAAAAAGTTCTTGAGATTTCCCCGGGATTTCCCTAGCATATACGATTCTTCAGTTCTAAACCACTTGTGCTCCTAGCATAGTTTTTCATTGGTCGCATCGGAGCCTTGCACGGACCGTTTTTCCATGAAAAAGGTGCACTATATAAAAAGTGCTTTCCTTATATAAAAAGTGCTTTTTATATATAAAAAATGCCCTTCCTTTTTATATAGGTATACCACTAAAAAGTGCTTCCCTTATATAAAAAGTGTTTTTACTATATAAAAAGTGCTTTTATTATATGAAAGGTGTTCTTCCTTTATATATATATATATTATTAAAAAGTGCTTTCTCTATATTAAAAGTGCTTCTCCTATATTAAAGTAATTCCCCTATATAATAAGTGCTTCCCCTATATAAAAAGCGCTTTTACTATATAAAAAGTGCCCTTTTTAAAATTTATTATCGTTTTTTAGTTTGTATTTGTTGGTTAGGTCTTTATTAAAACTACTTTGTTGTCTTGAAGCTAAAATATAAATACTCTATTCTTTATTTTATTTTTAATTACTTTCCTCCCTTATTCTTATTTTCCTTATTTATCTTATTTATTATTTAAACCTTCCTTAATTATTTTTTTTTTTATTTTGCTTCGTGCTCTTTTTTATTATAATATACTTAACCTCTCCCCTTTATATATTACGTCTTTCTTATTTTTTAACCTTTTATTAACGACCTAAACCTTTTTATAGAGGAAGAGGATAACGACTTTACTCTTATCCTTAGGTTATAGAACTAGAAATCTTTTTAGTTAGAGTATTTTTTTTATTTTTATTTTTAGCGATAACGATATTTTGTTAGATCTATTGATCTTGCCGTTTAAGCGTATTCTTTTTAATAATTAATGCTAAGGCTAAATAAGGGCGATAACTTTATTTATTGCTAGGTTATTTTTATTAGGGATGTCTAGTTTAATTATATTTAGCGTATTTAATAGTAAGTTATAAAATATAAATACGGGAAAGTAGGCAATAGAAATATAATTATAATAAAAAGTTAATTACCTAGGGCGGTCCCTTAATTTTAAATATAGGTCGATAACCGTCCGATCTTAAATAAGAGCTATATATTCTTATAAAGATAAATAATCTCCTTAATATCTTATTCGCTAGTGTTAAGGCGACAAAAGGCCGTTATATTATTAATGAAAGCTTATTAGTTAGCAGCTAATTATTATAAACGGTAGGGACTTTCTTTAATAATTACCCCTCTTTAATTAAGAATATATATTATAATTATTCTTTAATTTCCCCGTAATATTATAAAGGAATTATCTTAATCTTATTATAGTGATATATTCTAAAAGATCACTATGTATATATAAGGTCAGATCCGCCGTTAATATAGTGATCCTACTATTGTAGTACGCTATAGTACTTATTTTAATAATAAAAGGTTTAAAACCTATTTGCTGCTGTTTAGACCCGAAACCGGTAGCGATATTAATTATTTAATAGGTTATAGTCTAGTAGTATATATTAAGAATTAATCTTTTTAAGAGCCGCTTTACCTTTATCGAAATGAAGTAATAAGAACTTTATAACTACTAGACGGTAATATTACTTAAAGAATATTATTTATAAATGTGATTTCTAACTTATAAAATACCACTATTAATACCGAGAATGACTAAGATAAGGAATAAGGACTTTATTATGACTATTTAACTATTAAATTAAAGGTAGGTATTAAGTAAAATAAGGACTATAAATCAATTAAAACTCCGGAGGGAGTAACTATTTTTAACCGTAACGAATTATTCGTTAAGAAGCTTGCTACCATTATTATAAACTTCCTATCTATATAGAAACTCACCGGTCTAATTAAGGTGAGGCCGGAAGAAGAAATAACGATATTATTAATTCCGAACTACTACAAATATAACGTCGGTTAATATATATTCCTGTAGGGCATTAACGATTAACGTTTTATTAATAATAAAATAGATGATATATATGCTAGAGGTTAAGCTAAATAGGTTGACTTTTTAATGCTGTTCGGTATACCCTTTTTTTATAGTATGGAGAATGGTAGACGGTAAATATAAGGGCCGTATGGTTGTAAATTTTAGAGTATTAAATAAGGTTACTATACCCGATGTATACCTACTGTTACTGTAATCGGAAGTTATCCGTAAGGTGCGTAGTAAAGCCTTTATAATTAAAATAGATGCCCGGATATTCTTTTATTAATTCCTGGTTAAAAAGGAGTATTAAGAACGATTAATTATGGTAAGCTATCGTGGTTAAGAAATGTCTATTATAGCCTTAATGGGATTTTATAATTCACTAGTATATGCTTAGCGATTTATTAATAAATTACTCCGTAATTATACCGAGTATGTATGGGTATTTATTGACGATATTGTTATTGTTTCCGATATGGAAGAAGAATATATTAAATATTTATGTATTATTTTTAACGTTTTTAAAGAAAGAGACGTTACTTTTTTGCTAGATAAGTCTTTCTTTAGATTTCCGTTTATAGAACTACTAGGTTTTAATATCGATGTATTTAAATTATGGAATACCGAGGACCGTGTTAGAGCTTTAAAACTTATCTACTTCTTAATAAACCTTTTAGTATTAGAAAAATAGATTAGCTTTATAGGATATCTCTGCTATTTTATACTATATTATGCTTTATAAATCGATGCTTTATAATGGCGAAAGACAAGCCTGTTGGTATAAGGTAGAAAAGAAGGAAAGGTTT